ATATCTCTCTTATTTAAAATCTGCCGTGAACACAGTCGCTGTTAACCATTTCTAAATATTCTCATACGTAAGAACTAAAAACGGTAGCAATATATAAAAATAATAACAATATCAGTAATTTATTAAATAATATTTTTTTTGTTTTAATATTTTCAGAAAAAAGATTATTTAATTAATTATCTTTTTTAAAAATTATATAATTCATGGATTTGTCAAAAAGCTGAATCTTTAAATTTGATAATTTTTTAAAACTAATACAAGAATATCAGATTCGAAAAAATGAATTATATATAATATTTATTAAAAAGCTATTAAAAGATTTTATTAATTATAATTTAAATAAAATAAATAGTTTAATTATTTATATTATTAGCTTTTATTAATTATGTACAAATAATTTTAATTAAATATTTTAATATTATTAATTTTTCAATGATAAATTTATAATAAATATTAGTTAATTATTTTAAAAATAATAACAAATAATATATATTATTTATATAATAAATTTTTTGTAAGTAATAAAATAATATTCTTAATATAAATTATATTTAATAACATATATATTAGTTTTTATTAAAATAAAAAAATTAATTAATTAATTTAGAATATAAATATATAATTAAAAATTCTCTCATATTTTATATTATAATATTTAATTTTATTTATATAATTAAATATAAAATAAAATAATAAAATAAAATATTTATTAAAATTATAATATTTTTTTACAATTGCTTAATAAAAATTTAAAAAAATAAATTAAAGTTTTTTAATAATTTTGAATCTGAAAATATTATAATAATTTATTAGATTTTCTTAGTTTATACAAATAAATCTTTTTAAATATACTCTCTATAAATGTATACTCTCTTTAAATATACAGTATAACTATATTTGAGCTTATAAGAGCTTTATATATTTTGCTCTTTATAAATGTATATTTTCTTTAAATGCATAATTTACTATAATTTTAAGAGTAATATATTTAGTAAGATTTATTTATATAAATTTTTAACTTAATATTTGCATTAATTAATAAAAATATCCAGTAATCATTATATTTTCATTAGAAAATTTTATAAATTTTAATAAAATTATATTTTATTAATTTGAAAAAAAATTAATATTTGTAAAATTTTTATAATTTAAATTATTAAAAATATTATTAATTATTTTATTATAATTACAAGTATAATTATAATAATATTATACAATTTTTATTTTAATACTATATTTTAACAAATTTATAATTAATTAATATATTTTTTTTTCAAGTTTTTCAACAACTATTATTTTTTTATATTAATTTTTATTAATATTTCTTTAATAAATACAATATAAAATTAATATAATAATTAATTAAATTTAATTTAATTTAATTAAAATCTGATTTTAAAAAACTTTTGAAATTTATAAAGAATATTATATAATATTTTTATTATTTCTAATATTTTGTTGAATATTATTATTTTGATTTTTGATTTTTAAAAAATAAAGATCTGTAATTATTATATTAGATAATTCTATATAAAAATAAAATAAAAAATTTAATAAGAAAATTTGTTAAAAAAAATAAAAAGCTAAAATTAAAATATTATCAAAATTAGATTATTGTCTGATAAATTATTCTTTAATATTTCTAGAAAATATTTGTAATATAAAAATTTTATTCAAAATTTTCTTTTAGTTATTAATATTATTTTGATTTTGAAGAAATATATTCACTAATTTTTTTTTAGAAAAAAGCAAGAATTTTTGTAACTGAATTAAAGATTTGCTGGATTAATTAGTGAATTTTTGAAATTTAAATAAAAAATAATGGTTTAAAAAAATATTTGAAAAATATTCGATTATTTTTTTCTAAAGAATTTGGATAATTATTCCATAAAATTTTCTGTTTTTTTATAAAAATGTTTTAATAATAAATTTTGAAAAAGATGCATTACTTTTGTAAGTTATTATATATTTTTGTATTTAATTCAAAGAAATTTTTCTAATTGCATAATAAAAACTTTGCATTTATTTGCAATCAGAAAAATTTCTTTGAATTAAATACAAAAAATCTAAAAAAATATAGATTATGGTTTTTATTTTGATATAAAAATAAAAACTATTATCACTAAAATTTAAATTGATTTTAATAATAAATTTTGAAAGTGATGCATTACTTTTGTAAGTCAAATAAAAAATTTATATGAAATTAAAAAGGTTTAGCAAGCAAATTTGTCTATACATATAATTAAATACATTTTTGTATTTTACTCAAATTTTATTAGGATCTAAACGTCGCATCTTTTTTCGGAATTTCTGGTAGGAAATTTTCCAATGGTTTTCTTTATATTAAATTCATAAAACCTTGAGCATGCAATTACTTTATTAAAATCCAATATTTTTTCTACTCAACTCTCTTAATTCCCAGATATCCAATGAATTTTTTTCTTTTGCCTTTTTAGCATCTTTTTCTCGTTGCCGTTCTTGTAATAGCCGCTAGTAAGCAATAGAATAAATTAAAAAATCTATAGCATTAGAAAATCAGGAAAAATCCATTTTCACCTTTCGACCCTCTTCATCTTCCTTTTTTACTCTAAAACAAAACTTAAAATCTTGCCACTTTTCGGAACAATCTTTGTTCTCTCCATATCTATAACGATTTCGTATCTGAGAACCCATACCTTGTAGTAGTGTAGATAATAACAAAAAATAATAATTATAGAAATTCTTTCAACTAATAAAAACGGATTTTATTGATTTAAATATTTACTCCAACAATTCATTATTGCATCAAAAGACTGAGTTATACTACAATCAGTTTTCATTTCGACAATGTCGGAGAAATTTTTTGACATGATTTAATTGTACGTGTAAAACAAATCCGAATGTAGATCATTTTTTAACGTTCTTTAGAAGTGAAAGAAGCAAAAGTGAAAATTAACCATAAAAAGCTAATTTTTTTTTGAAAATGTTATCTGCCGCAAGTAATGCTGCATCTGCGATACAGTCTTCAATAATGGATACTCTAAATTCAAGACAAAACTCTGAAACTGTCATTTCCAACAATGGCTCTCAAGACGCTTCTGACTCACAGGTAGATAACTCGAATCCCCGAGATTCTAAATTATTAACAAATGGTGAAGAAAAATCTTCACCAACAATTAATTTGGACACTACTGTGGCTATGGCAGAAAATCAAGGTGCTCAAGTTGCTCAAGGTGCTGCGTCTTTAACTATAGAACAGATTAGCCGCGATCAAACAGACAATAAAGAGGCTTTTGATTATAAACTTCCATATCAGCAGAAAAGAGTAGGGAGTAGTAGCACTAGTGGTACCAGTGGCACTACAGAAGATAAATTTGAAACGGTCGATTTGCCTCCTGCTCAAATTCCAAAACATTCTCCAGCCAGTCCAAAGAGACACAAAGAATTCCATTCACTCTTCCGAAACGTACCTGAATATGATTATCTAATTGATGGTGAGCAAGGATATTCTCATTTAGCATCGTAATTCATTATTTTCTATATTTGACCTTGATATCTTTCATGGCCTCAAGACTACAGCTGTGCTCTGCAAAAAGAAATTCTTGTGCAGGGTCGACTATACATTTCAGTAAATTACGCTTGCTTTAACGCAAACATATTTGGCTGGGTGACTAGTGTGCGTATTGTATAAGCAGTATTATTATTTTTATACGAAAATACTAAATGATTGGGTTTTGAATAAAAAGCTTGTTATACCATTCTCAGATATCGTGTCGATTGAGAAAAGAGTGACAGCATTCGTTATTCCCAATGCGATTCTAATCTCAACACTTCATGCAAAGGTAAAATAATTTAAGGATAATCTATCTACTCTTGTTTGGTAAATCTATTATTAATTAGTATACACGCACATTTCCACAATATTTCAGCACTTTTTCGCATCATTTCTTGCACGTGATACCGTTTATGATTTATTGACAAATTTGTGGCGACAAAATAGGCCAACATTATCTAGTACTCCCTCCTTTGCTGAATCTGAATTTCAAAATGATAAGAGTTCCGAATCTGAAGAGGACGAAGAAGAAGGAGGTGGTACAGAGGAAAGTGAAGTGGACGAAGGTAATTATTAAAAAAAGATTAAGAAGTGGTTATATATTTTACGAGGAAAAGGGATATTGACACATCGTCGTCATTATATTACTTGCGGATATATTGCTTTTTTATTTGCGCTCGATTGTTAGAGAGATGGTTACTTTAATACATGCAATATAAATCGGTATTCTCTCTCTTACACCTATACCCAAACATCCACATTCACTAGGTAAACAAAAAAACCGAGCTCTTAAACTTCTACCAAAATTATCACTCGAGCCGATAAAACACGTTCTCGGAGATCAGCAATCGAAAGAAAAAGAACGAACACAAGATAATTCCGGCCTTTTATCAGCATCCAAACAAGATGACTCGAAAGATGAGAAAGTCACAGAAACTGGTGGTTTTGGTAGAGATAAATCGACATTTGATGATACCAATCTTTCTGAATCACATCTTTCTCCAGAGCCACATAAAGTGACAAATACCTACGTAAAACCTGCACCTAGAGCTCGAAAATCGACAAAAATCAATACGAACGTTAAGAAACGTACACATTCTCCTGTCTTGTGTGACTGTCTTAAGAATCGAAAACACTACGATTCGGTATCTATGGATACAAAGTTTACCGGAAGTGTTGAGAAACTATACAATCTCATATTCACAAGTGGATTCGTGCGTCGTTTCCTTGTAGAGCAAGAGAAATGTACCGGTAAGTAGAAAATCTACGGAAAGCATTAATATTATTAAAAAAGTCTAACTTCAATTTACTAAATTCTAATATATCTAGATGTAAATATTGGTGAATGGGTATCTGAGCCAGACGATAAATTAACTCGTACTTCAAGTTATATTAGGCCACTGACTAATCCCATGGGTATGTGAAAATTTAACAATAAAATAGAATATTTACATGCAACAACAACCGACTAATTACTGTTTTGTTTAAGGTCCAAAAAGTACAAAATGTTATTTAAAGGATGAATGCTTACATCGAGATTTTGATAGGTAAATTTATGTATGCCTAGTGACTATATATACATCTACATACATTCAAGGATTCTAATACTTTCCTGCACTTTTTATTATTCCCCTATCTCAGATACGTCACAAATTTCACCATCACTAATACTCCCGATGTACCATATGGAAGCTATTTCAGTGTTAAGACTCGGACGTGTATCATGTGGGCTGGGGCGAACGAAACTCGTATTATTGTCAGTACTGCTGTGGAATTTTCGAAATCATCATGGATCAAAGGTATATTTAATTAATTATGCGACTAAAAAATTTCGTAAAGAATTAAAAATAATGATAGTTTTGCTTAATAATTTAGGCACAATCGAAAGGGCAGCCCTTGACGGCCAACTGCAGTATCACAAAAATCTTGCACTTGCAATCCGTAAATATATTGCTGCTCATCCAAATGAATTTCAAGATGAATGTGGATCGCCTGTTCGTGAAGTTTGTGAAATCGAAACACAACCATCAGAAGCCCATAAAGGTCGAGATCATGAATCTTTTGAGGAAGATGGTGAATTAGGCATAGAACAAGAGGCGCCCACGAATCTAGGCCAAGCTTTTGTTGATTTATTCAATGCCCTCACAGCAATCTTTTCATCAATATTTCGGATTATTGGCACACCATCCAAAACTACTTTAATTGCTTGTGCATTCGTTTTTATGGTTGTGACCAATTTCTATAATTGGTTGCGATTAACGGACCTTACACATAAGCTGGAAAATGCACAATCTGGATCTTTTGGGTCTAGATTTGGATCATTGAAACCAGATGATGTACTTTATGAGTCACGGAGATTCCGAGAGTATGCATTAATGTTTGATGATCGTGTCAATTCGGAAGGAGATCATCTATGGGTTTGGGTAGGTGAGAAAGCAAAGAAACATGGAGAACGTAAAAGTGATGAAACTAATACATCTGAGTCTGACGAAACCTCATCAACAATTACTTCTGATTCCACTCAGTCTTCGTCAGAGAGCAACGAATCAAATTCACACTCTGAACACCGTCAAAAACATAAGACCCACTTTATGAATTATTTTGACCGCTTCAATGAGAATTTTGGAGATCGAGCTTCCTCTTGGTCTTCAAATTCTCGAAGATATCCTTCAGCGTCGTCTGCGCTTCCTAATCTGAGCGATCTTTACGGGCAAATCGAGGATTTACAGCGTCTTGTTCATGCTGCTCAATATCATGCCAATAAACTTGCCGATATTGCTGAAGAAGAACGATCTTATCTTTTTCAACTCGAGAAAAATATGTTGAAAAATTCTAATTCGCCAACACCTTCTCCATCTGCAAATAATAATCATGATAATGAAATCGAAAAGATCAGTAGCGATGAAAAAATAGAACTATGAACGTTTTCCCAATATAATGGTATTTTTATTTCTTTCAGTCCGAGAAGAATGATAGTACATAGCGATAGAAATCAATTCTATTGTGATTAAAGATCTATTTGGCATTTTTTAGGTCCAGATCTAAAAATAGAAATATCACTATTTTTTGATTCTATTTATAAATGGTTTGCCAAAAAAGTCACATGTAATGTCGATATAGTATATGATAATTGTTAAAATTTAGTCTGTTTAATTTTCCCAAGACCAACTGACAATATTGATATATTATGAACGAGTTATAACTCAACTTTCCCAATGTGTTAAGTTGCGTTACTATGTGTGACTGTCTAAAGAATCGAAAACACTATAACTCGATAGTCTTGGATACAAAATTTACCGGGAGTGTCGAGAAAATATACAATCTCTTATTCACCGATGGATTCGTGCGTCGTTACCTTATAGAGCGAGAGCGATGCACCAGTAAGTAGAAAACACTTACGGAAAGATTGCATTATTAAAAAAGCCTAACTTCAATTTACTAATTCTCTAGATATAAATATTAGTGAATGGATATCTGACCCAGATGATAAATTAACTCGTACCTCAAGTTTTAACTGGCCCACGGGTATGTGGAATTCTAATAACAAAATAGACAATATTAATTTGCAACAACTGATTAATTAATTCCTATTTCGTTTGCTCTTTTAATCTTTAGGTCCAAAATGTTATTTAAAGGACGAATGCTTACATCGAGATTTTGATGGGTAAATTATGTCAGTGATGACATATATATATAATCCAAGGATTCTAATAATTTCCTGCACTTTTATTATTCCCCTGTTTCAGCTATGTCACATGTCTCACTACCACTAATACTCCCGATCTACCATATGGAAGCTATTTCAGTGTTAAGACTCGGACGTGTATCATGTGGGCTGGGGCGAATGAAACTCGCGTTATTGTCACCGCTGCAGTGGAATTTTTGGATTCAACATGGTTCAAAGTGAGATCTTTGCTTAGTAATTTAGACATGATCGAAAAGGCTGCTCTCGATGGCCAAAAGCAGTATCACAAACAAATTGCACTTGCAATCCGTAGATATATTGCTGCTGAGGAGGGTGGATTACCTGTTCGTGGGGTTAATGAAGTCATGGCTGACAGCGAAACACAATCGTCAGTTTATCGTTCAATACTTTGGGTTGTCATTGCTTGCGTATTAGTTTATATTGCTTGTGGATTAGTTTCTACGGTTGTGAACAAATTCTATAATTGGTTAGGATCAACTGATAAGCTATCAGGCGATGTATTTTATGAGTCACAAAGACTCAGAGTGTATTCATCGATGTTTGATGATGCGGAAGGAGATCATCTTTGGGTTTGGATAAGTGAGAAACATGAAGAATCTAAAAGTGATGAAACTAATACATCTGAGTTGGACGAAAACCCATCAACAATCACCTCTAATTCCACGTCTGAAAATCAGTCTTCGTCAGAGAGCAACGAATCAAATTCATATCCAGAACGTCGTCAAAAACTTAAAAACCACTTTATGAATTATTTTGAACACTTTGATAATTTTGGAGATCGAGCTCTCTCTCGGCCTTCAAATTCTCGAAGACATCCTTTAGCATCATCTTCTGTGCCTCCTACTCTGGACGATATTCACGGGCAAATCGAAGATTTACAGCATTTACAGCGTCTTGTTCATGCTGCTCAATATCAGGCTAATAAACTTGCCGATATTGCCGAAGAAGAGCGAGCCTATCTTCTTCAACTAGAGAAAAATATGCTGAACAATTCTAGTGAGAAGACCAGTAGCAGCTTTTGGTTTTATTTACTTACATTTATTGGTTACTTGATTTTATCCATTGCTTTATTCTTTTTTTATTGTTTGTATTTAATTCTAAGCTGTTTGGGTTTAATTCTAGACTTTCTTAAAGAAATTCATGTTCTTTCAGATTCTTGAAGATTTCTAGCTTCTTTTTTATTCCTTCTAGAATTAAATGATTTGCGCAATACACAATCTACAAATTCACCATGGAAGAAATGCAATGCATTCTCAACAGTTTAACAAGTAATAATAGATAAGTCACCGAGAAAAATATAGCGCGCAAATTTTTTTAAATTTTCACATAAATAATCAATTGTAACGTAGTAACAAATCAAACAACTTGTGGTGATGTTACTTACAAAACAAGTTATCTTCGTCTCATTTCTTATTCGCAAGCCCGGATCTAAAATACAAGATATCCCCATCTTCAACTACATATTCTTTCCCTTTTTGCATATATTTTCCGGCAGCTTTGACAGCATTTTCCGATTTCAATTCTTTTAGATCTTCGAAGCGCATTGTCTCTGCTAGGATGAAGCCCTTTTGTAAGTCGGTGTGTATACTAAATATGGTATATATGGAGTAAATAAAAAAATCAATACCCATTGGGATAACTGTAATTTTTCTTTCATTACTACTTACACGCCTGCAGCCTGTGGAGCTTTGGTAAGTTTCTAAAATTCATCGACTTGTTTAGTTAATTTATTCAACTTCTATTAGCTTAAAAAAAAAAACACTTACCCGAATCGTCCATGCTCTCACTTCATCAGGACCACAAGTGAAAAAGTACATTAATTGTAATGCCTGATATCCAGCCACAATGATTTTTGGAAGCGCAGATTGTGTCCCTAGTTCTTTTAACAACTCTTCTTTCTCTTCTGCGGTCGAAAGTAAAGAAAGTCGATATTCAAGAGCGGCACTAAAGGGAATTAGCAAATCCCCAGGATTATTTTCGTCAATCCATGCCTTGACTTTTGGAAGCCTATTTTAACGTCAATAATGATTTTTTTTTAGTAAATCTTTGAACATTCAACGAAACTTTGATGATTTAATAATTGCTTGAATCTAATGATGACCATTTATTCTTTTTTCTTATATAATCTTTTTCGCTCAAGTTAATCAGATAAATGACTGGCTTTGCTGTGAGTAATTGTAGTGTATTAATTATTTCAACCTGAATTCGAATTTGAATAAAATAATTAAAATCTCCAAATTAAATATTTAAACTAATTCAATTCTTCTTGAACATACTTCTTTATTTGACCAATTTGCTTTTCGAATGTCTTTATTTTCCTCGGATACTAATTTGAGTGCTTTTTGTGTAACATCCTATGCTCGAAAAATAAAAATTGCGTGTTAATTATACGAATGGGTGAATTATCCAGAGAACATAATTATCTCTTACCAATTCTTCCTTTTTTGCTTTATCAGCTGCGGCGGGAGCTTTTCCTAAACGTGCGGTAACTTTAGATAAATCTTCGAAACGTTTCGTCAAAAACTCTTCATCCTTGAGTCGAAGTTCATTATGAATAATCTCGAGGTCACGTATGGGATCAAGTTCACCCTCAACGTGAATCACATCCTCTTCCGAAAAGCCACCTATTTAAGATTTATTAATTAAGAAAAAACGCATATCCGCAATAACAACAATTACATATCCAAATAAATATACATACGAACAACATGAAAAATTGCATCGACAGCGCGTATATGACTCAGAAAATTATTTCCCAAACCAGCGCCAGTAGCGGCACCTTTTACCAATCCAGCAATATCAATTACTGTAAGATATGCCGGTACTCTAGAGGCTGGGTGATATTGTTCACATAGCCAGTCAAATCGTTCGTCGGGAACGGCCACACGTGATTCTTCCGGATCTTTGTTTCAAGAAATATATCGATTAAATTCATGATTTTTTCATAAGACTTATGCCATGTGACATTTACCGATTGTACAAAAAGGATAATTTTCGGCTGCTACTGCACTTTTGGTAATAGCGTTGAAGAATGTCGATTTTCTAAGTAATTGATTAAAGAATACAAATCAAGTAATTTTGTCACATGAGAAATCAAGTTAGAACGGAGCGTCTCTTTCTCTTTCTCTTTAATTCTCAAATGCAGTCCTACCCAACATTAGGTAACCCAACCACACCAATTTTCAAGTTATTACTTGGTCTACCAAGCAAGACCTTTTCCTCCTTGACAACTTTTTTTGGCGGCATGCTTTTCTTTTGCAAATGAACGGAAGAGTGGAAGCTTTTTATGAGCACCAAAGAATTAAATGTCAGTAGATTTGATAACGATAGAGGAAACCAGTTCTTTGAGCGACAAGAAAAACGCATAAAAAGGATCGACCAATTTTTTGTAGACATGTGTGTAGTAGATTATCGTTTCGATAAGCGTGGGAAATTAGACCAAGATCATGTGACTTGGTCTTGTTCGATAGTAACGGATTGTGCGAAGTAAGGCGTAGAAACGATAGCATCGTGTAATTCCACTCATTAATTCCCGCAATGCAATGTGTAAATGTATTTAATTAAGTGAAAAGTAAAGAGAGCTTTTTCTGCGGTGATGCATGTATAAAAAAGAATAGACCCGCAGGTGAAGAAACGCAGCAAATAACAGGCAAAGTAAATTACACATGTGCGAATTAAAATCATCTGCAATAGGAGTAAAGGGTGATGTTTTTTACCGCGTTTAATCAATCAATCATCAATAATAATTTCCCCCACCAAGTTATCGTTATCTTTCTAGGTGCCAGATATCTTGAGTAGCAAATTGTGTGTCATTACGTAAATACGACAACGTAAATATATTGCTTATTCTGATGGCATCAATGCGCGGGAAATGACAAAATGGAATGATAAATCAGCATGTACATTATGTCACATTAATGTACACTTTATTTTTATATGTAGTTTATTTTGTTTGTTCTACAATTCTACTAATAATCGGCCGTTCCGTTGCTAATCGTGAGTTTACAGATGTGCCTGTGTTGTATTTCACTACATATTTGGGACTCGTGACTTTTTATTTCAGGAGACTTGCACGACAATAATTATCTTTATCTGATATATTGATGCCTTATTTACATTATGCTTCCGCTAGTCTATTTATATTTTATTATACATGTACACGTAGCGCACAACCTATTGCTATTCAACACACGAAAACGACCACTAAATAGCTATGATTATACACACGCGTATCGAAGAAAATTACTATAAATTCCGCCTCTGCCTTTGCCATCTTCCCACCAACAATCAATCACATTAACATATATATATATATACATATTACCTATCCTCCCTTCCTACATAATCTTAATTATTTACACACGCTTTGTATTATATTCATATTCACATTATTACCTACCACACACCACATATCATCCATCGTTCTTATTAATAATAAAAATGGCCGCTGAACAAACTTGGGAAGAAATCGCTGAATGGGAATACGAAGAAGAAGATATTGAACTCGCCAAACGCATTACTGTACATTCTATTCCAAATCCTGTTTCAATTGATATTGATAATATCGCTGGTGATGGCGTAGAAGACAATGACGAGGGTGACGAGTATCAATTCATTCAAAACTTTAAAGCACCCACATACGCTGCTGCAACAAAATGGGGTACACCGCCACATACGAATAATAGCAGTAAGAATACCAAGAATACCGATAATACAAACAATGAAAATAGCGACTCGTCCTCTTCTTCCCCTGTTTCTCCTGTCGCCACCTTCTCAAAGAAACACAAAGCTGCGAAGAGAATGGTGGCGCAGAACGAAATAGCGGCTTCCGACTCAGAGACTTCTTCTGTCACCATTAACTTTGGAGACGACGAAGCATCCGACCTTCATCTTGTCAATGAATCTCCGGGTGCGCGTTCAGCTGCACGTCGTGCAAATGCTCATGTCCATAAATTACAAGCCAAACGACTTCAAGCTCAATTGGTTAGTACCACAGAATTGGAATTTTGGGAGAATTCTGCACGCGGTGATACAAATCGCAATCCACAGTTTGTGAAATCGAAAATCTGTAAGAAAGCCATGAAGTATAGTAAAGGGGACAAAAAGGATAGAAAAGGATTACAAAAATTTAAAACTGAAGTTTGGTAACTTGATAATTTATTAAGTAAATAATATAACAATACAAATGCTAGAATTCTTTCCGTCTTACAATTTTGGTAAATTTATTCTTTTGCCTTTTTCAGAATAGAATAAATAATTGACACACTTGAATAATATTGTTTCAGAACAAATAGAGTCAACACGTAATAATAATAATATACAAAGTATATTTCGAATAAAAATAGAGTACAACGTGCTCTGAAACTTGAGACAATACATTTATAAAATACAAAATAAGCTTTGTTCTCTAAGGAAATAAAGATAAAATTAATGACTGCATTCATTGTCCTATTATTGTAACCATAACATATGCTCTTCTTGTGAGTTGTCGTCATTGCTCTATTAATGTGTCACTTGTTTCTTTATTTCTGAGAGTTGTCGGTTTTTTTTTAGTTCGATATAAAGAAAAAAGAATGAGTAAGTTTATGATACAGTCGATGTAAAGGTTGTTATTTAATTTACCTTTAATAATATCTAAGTAAGCTCTAGTGGCCGGAGAATCAGGATATTCATCCAAGAACGAAATTCCGGCATCACATGATTTTCCTATAGATTTATTCATTATTGTAAATTAAGGTTAATTCTAATTCTAATGAAACAAATTCGCCATACCAATTCTAGGATCCAGCGGGATTGAGCCTAAATATGGGACATCAACTTCTCCTGCCATTTTTTTCGCACCCCCAGTAGTAGGTGCAAAGATAACAGACTCGCCCTTTCATAATTTAATTTTAAATTTGATAAGTTATATTATTAATAGATTAATTGGATATGAATTATATTATTAATTAATAGTCTACAACGGAAACGATAGTCACACTATAGGTTATTCACTATTATCAAGTAATCATCAACAAATATCGTGCAAGCTTAAATGGTGACTATAGTGTGACTCTCGCCTTCGTTGTAGAGGTTTGACTGCGTTGAAAAAATTAAATTAAATTAAATTATTTATTTACTTGACAATTTGGACATACGAATCCACACATATTCTCTACCACGCCAATAATTGGTATCTTCACTTTTCGACAGAAATCGATTTCCTTTCGTACATCTTGAATCGATACCTCCTGCGGCGTTGTTATCAATATTGCACCATCGATTCCACTTTCTTTCAGATATTGTGTTATCGATAGGTGTTCGTCTGATGTACCTGGTGGTGTGTCTACCAAAAGGAAGTCAAGTTCTCCCCAATCAACATCCTTTAAAAATTGTTTGATTAATCCTATGCATAAAAAAACAATCGATTAATCAATTCACAATTTAAAAAACAAATAGACTATAAATTCAAGACATACCATTTTTCTTTGGTCCTCGCCAAATAACAGCGTCATCCGGATCAGGCAACATAAATCCGATAGACATCACCCCCAAGTTATCCTGTACGTATACAGGTGACCATCCTGACATGCTTTGATGTATTTGTTCTCCTTCTAATCCCATAATCTTTGGAATCGATGGTCCACACACATCAATGTCTACTACGCCCACCTTAGATTTTCCAAAAATTAAAAATTAAGAACAATTTTTTTTCCTCGAGCTCATTTTTATAGTTTTTTTACCTGGGTATTTTCGTCACTAGCGAATGCGAATGCGAGTTGCGAAGTAAACGTACTTTTTCCCACTCCGCCCTTCCCGGATAAAATTAATAATTTATGTTTCACTTGATGCAATCTTTCATTGATAAGAGGAATGGCTATTTTAAGAAATTAAAGTTTTTTTTTTTAATATTTCGCTCAGCACCTGAAATAACCAAGCATTGATTTTATCTACGCTTACGCACCTGGGTCAGGCCCCTTTGGAGTAGTTGCACATATATTTTGGTTAGGACAGCCTGCACACGCCGAAGCTTTACCTGCTTGCTCTGTGTCAGGCCCCTTTTTAAGTACGAAATTGTGAGGAGATTGTTCCAAGACAAGTTTGAAAACCAGTCAGTCAAAAGGTAGAACATACCGGGCAATGTGCGGGTGCATTTTCTGGTATATTTGTGACCACCATTACAGAAGAGATGAAGAAAGATGAAATGAAAATCACACAAATTTAATGATTTATTAAATTATTCTATGTGAATAAATGATTCTATGTGAATAAAATGTTACTATACATTCTATTTATGCTTTCTATTCTTCTATCATGAAATTATAGACAATTAGCAAATTAAAATAATATTTGTATATATATATATATTATTATTATTATTATTTATATTTCAAGTTTTTTTTTTACGAGAATAAAAGACAGACAAGCACATTGATAATTATCATTTTATTTTTCGCGCGATAGCTCGTAAATTCTAACTTGAGTTTCGTTTTCGAGATTCCCGCCACCCTCCAAGATTTTCATGTTAAATTTAGAGTTCAATTTCGAAAAAAATTCAAGTTCCTGTTCGATAGATAGACCTCGACGCTTATATCCAAGATACATTTTTGTACGACCAGGAACACAGAGATCGACAAATGTCTGGATGAGCTTATCAAAAAGTTCTAAGGAACAATTCATCAGTTGTTAGTGGTGATTATGATATTGTGCGACAAAAAGATTTCTCGATATTTTTGACTTGCCTGGCTCGTAAACAACATCCGATGCTAAGATCACATCGATTACACCAAGTTTTTTAGCTTTATTAGAATCCCCCCATTTCAATGTGTCCACTTTGATCGACACATTTTGATCGTTTTTAAATAAATACTGATTGAGTGAGTGATTAACGCGTACCAACTTGAGTGCATCCTCTAAATCAGTCAAGATTACACGCGCTCCTTTTTGTTTATTTGAATTGACAATATTATTATTGACTACAGCTAACAAAGCGGCAAGATAGAGACCAAGAAATCCTGTTCCAGTTGACAAGTCCAATATCGATTTGCCTAAAAGAGCTCTGGGGTCTTGTAGTATTTTATTCTTGAATAGTCCAGCAATGATGAAAGCAGAATCCCAAACTTTACCAGGAATTCCGAAGTCCCAAAGTTCTTTGATCAATAAGTTTTTCCCATGTGCAAGTTCGAATGTCCTAAAATTATGAACCAAACAATCGTCATTCCCCCAAGAACATTTCTGTCCATTAGAAAATGAAATCGTTGATGATGGTGATGATGGTGATGAAGGTGATGAAGAAGAAGAAGATGATGATTCATACGACCAATTCGATGTATAAGAATTTGAATGACAAGCTGATACGGTGGTAGATTTCGTGGATTGAGTTACGGCGTAGTGATAGCCACAAGAGGATGGTTGTGATTCACATGTGGTGACTTTAATTGGTCCAATCACCAATGGAACAAGACGGTGAAGATGCTGGTGATTATTATTTGCTAATTTATTTCCACGACTATCGCTAATCATTTCCAAGATCGGGAAAATGTGAAGATACAAAAATGAATTTTTTTTCGTAGATTTTCTATTGCGACGGCCATTATTAACCGTTGTTGCATTATCAGGTCGATGCACTTTACTTGTTGAGTCGTTGTCGTTCATTCTGGTTAATTTGATTTCTAATCCACCTTTACCGTTACTCTGAACACCTGCCCATTCAGTTGCCACCACGTCACTCCATTCACAACTAACTTGGCTCATGGCTCTCACTTTTACTTCATACTTGGAAGTTTCTCTTTTACCAATCTCGAGTATTTTACATCCAAGTTTATATCCCTCTATACCCTCCATATCTGTTCTTTTGAACAAGCCCATTTCACTCACACACATGAGATCCAACGAATACCATCTGTCAAGATGCATACTCGAATGAATTGGCATTCTCAGTAACAGACGATACTGAAATATTTGAGTGAGATCGTTGAAATTCTTGGTGACTCGATCAATCAACCGAAAAGCTTGCGTCGCGTTGTTATTCCGAGAAATTTCTTGCGCTTCCAAATGCATCATTCGATGTAATCTCTCGGTGACGCACTGGAGATTAATTGCCACGAATTTTTCTCCAATTTGATTGATCAGGGGAACCATGTTAGAAATGAACAAGGATAATGTTCCATTGACCGTAAATCGGGAGTTATTCTGTTGAAGGATTAAGGTCTTTAATCGATTGAGATCCTGTTTAGCTTCCTGCCATTTTTCCAACGATTCAAAGGCTAAACTTCTTAACCACAATGCTAACATCTGACAGAATAAATCAGTATTATAGTCATTTAACGCGTATAACTTTATCACTTTTGAGGTATCGGCGAGGACACGAATAAACTCTCTTTGTTGTTGATAGCATAATGAACGAGCTAACAACGCTTGCGCGTGTTCACCATATTGAGATGCCAATTCAGTTAAGAACCTGATGGCCGCGGCGTAATTCCCGTCGGTGAAAGCGACAAGGGCATTTGAGGTTTGTGGAAGTTCACAAGTACCTCCTGTTTCGTAGAAACTCATTACTTTATGTTCAATCAATTTTTATTAATGGTCTTTCTTGGGTGCGGGGGTTAGCTTGACAGTTCAAATGTCAGGCCAATTTTCTGCTGGATATGGCATAAGTTTGTTATTAGTTACTTTCCTTAGAAATGATCTAATCGTAATATCTTAGTGTTAATAAGAAATTAAGAGACAAGGTAATGTCTCTTGATATGCAGTAAACTTTTTTAAGAAAAAAACTTTTGGCTGTGTTGCCTCCAAAAAAGGTTAGACGAATCAACAACCATTATGAATTGATCGACAAATCAAACACGTTAACATTAATAACATGATGAGGCTTATAAATTTAACACATAATTAAAATTCTTATATTTACAACACCTCTTTAAGAATTGCCACAAACAACAAATCGATGTATGTATTTATGTAATAGAAAATTTTTAATAAAATGAATTAATTTTTAGATGTGGTTGATCTGGTTGATCTGGTTATTTTTTTGGGTTTTATATCGTCACTTTTGCTGGTCTTTGCTTTGGGTTTCTTTGATTCTGATTGGGCAACCTTTTCCTTAGCATCAACCGCTGCCGCTTTCTTTTTAGTTTCCTTTACTTTAGGTGATGATGGAGTTGCCGCCGCTTTCTTTTTAGTTTCTTTTACCTTGGGTGATGATGGAGTTGCCGCCGCTTTCTTTTTAGTTTCTTTTACCTTAGGTGATGATGGAGTTGCCGCCGCTTTCTTTTTAGTTTCCTTTACCTTAGGTGATGATGGAATTGGTTGTTCAGCTTCAGATTCATCCGATGATGTGCCGGGTATTTCTTGAATTTTGTTGAGTGCAAAACCGATGTCATCCGCAAAAAATACTTTTGCTGATTTTTTGGGTCGATCGTCACTTTTACTGGTTGCTGCTTTGCGTTTCTTCGATTCGGACTTTTCAGCAACTTTCGGTTCAGCTTCCGCCGTTTTCTTTTTAGTTTCCTTTACTTTAGGTGGTGAGGGAGTTGGCACCGCTTTCTTTTTAGTTCCCTTTACTTTAGATGGTGGAGTTGGTTGCTCAACTTCAGATTCATCTGATGATGTAGTGTCGTCTTGTGTTTTGTGGAATGCAGAGCCGATGTCATCCGCAAAAGATACTTTCGCTGATTTTTTGGGTTTATCGTCACTTTTACTGGTTGCTGCTTTGCGTTTCTTCGACTCGGATTGTTCAACAACCTTCGACTCAGCTGCCGCCGTTTCTTTTTTAGTTTCCTTTACTTTAGGTGATGAGGGAGTTGGCACCGCTTTCTTTTTAGTTTCCTTTACTTTAGATGATGGAGTTGGTTGCTCAACTTTATCTTCATCTTCTTCACCATGTAATTTTTCAGTAACCTGTTTGCTTATTTTGTCGAATTCTTCCGTTAAAGATGATTTTGTTGATTTTTTGGATTTTTTGGATTCTGCTTTCTTTGATGCGGAAGGTTTAGCATCCTTTGGAGTAGAAGCTTTCGCATCATTTGATGTTGAAGGTTTAGCATTCTTTGGCGTGGAAGGTCGAGTTTCTTTCGATGGCTTAGTAGTGATCTTTGAGGATTTAACCTCACTAGCTTTAGTTTCCGCTTTTTTCTTTTGACCTTTCTTTTCTTTAGACGATACTTCTTCCTCAGTCTCAGATTCATCGGATTCCTCGGATTCAGATTCATCTGATGATTTACTCTTCGATGACTTAGTAGTGAGCTTTGAGGATTTAGCCTCACTAGCTTTAGTTTCCGCTTTTTTCTTTTGACCTTTCTTTTCTTTAGACGATACTTCTTCCTCAGTCGCAGATTCATCTGATTCCTCGGATTCAGATTCATCTGATGATTTACTATCCTTGGCTTTGATGTTTTTGTTAGAGACTGACGCTTTATTATTGTTATTAGCGAAATGATTTGTCGGTTTTTCTATAAAATAGAATATATTGTTATTAATTCTTAAATTATAAAAATGATGGATTATTCTCCGAGACTATATCCACACCCACCTTCAATATCCATCTCCTCGTCACTACTTTCCTCGTCACTAATGACTTCATCTTCGTCCAAATCCATACCCACCTTTTCAGAGAGTGACTCCAAAACCTTCCTCATCGTCTCTTCATTCTTTGTGCACGGGGAACCTTTTTCATAAAAGTCTAATCGTCTTTCCACTTGTTCCTTTAAAGCTTCACCGTATTTGGAGGTTGGTTTATCTGGCATGATGATGAAGACAATTAATCAGAAATACTTCATCGATAAATTCTTTAAGAATGAAAACAAAGGTACCTGAAAAGCAATCGATTCTTGACGCAATTGTACATTTATTAGCCAAGAATCGTGAGATTTTGCCTTTATATTTCGTGCCAGCTCTGCCAATAAATGTAGAATGGTACAAAAGACCGTACTTTGGTGTATTTCCTTTGGTTTTTAGAGCTCTATTGGAGGTTCATTCGAATAAAGACATTTCATTAATAAGAATAAAAACGTTCATAATAATATACATCGGAATGGTATAGACATACCTGAACAGAGCCTTTTCTGCGCCAAGAATCTGAACAGTGGACGCGGGGTATTTCGATAAATTTGTCAAGCTGCCTGCATGTGAAATCAATCTCGCGCCGACAATTTCTCCAATAAGAGCCGAAAGATTCGGTGCAACATTATTCATTTTGGTTTGGACGTATTCGTGTAAGCCTTTACGATAATCAGAAAGGCCGATAACGCGATCGGCAAAACTTCCAATGTTGATCATGTCAATGATTGAAATATCGGTTCCCATAGAAGAACGAGCCGCATCTAGTATCTGTTGAGCTTTTGATTCGTCGCCAGTTATCTCTTCAATAGATTCAAGGTCTTCCTCGGTAAGTTCACCTTTATTCTTGATTAGCTTGGCAAGTTTTGCGTATTGGTGATTATCATTGACAATTTTAATCAATTCGGGAAAATGCCAGGAGTACCATTCTCTACACGTTCACCAATAACATTTTCATTGAGTACATAGAAATGTATTAGCAGATTGGATCTGTGAAAATCAAAAATACCTGATGCGCATGGAAAATGTATTGATGTCTTTATCAATCTGATCCAATAAAGCTATCGCTTGAATGATCATATTATCAATACGATTAACATTAAACTTCACTTTCGCCCTTGAATAACTGTGCCCTAATCCAAGCTGTGCCTTTTCAAGATCACCCTCCTTCATATCCTTCAAAAGCTTGTCGGAGTGTAGTCGAATACCACGCACAAGTTCAAGAACTAATTCGCTGGTATCGCATTCATATCCGAATTGTGCCACAATCGAGCTTGCCAAATTTTTATCGACAACTCCCAATACCACTTTATTAGCCTTTTTCTTTTTTGATTTACTCTTGGGCATATTCATTTCAAGGAATGCTTGAAGATGTGCGTTTACAACGCCTATAAATTATAAATATGTAAAATTCATCCAGCCACTTTCAATAAAGATTCGAGTATCATATAAATAAAATATCACCTTCTGAAATATCATTGGCATTTTCCAATGCATCTACGGAATTTTTGAAAGGTACGAAAGCCTTGAGTTTAACCATTTTTCCGAATTTCGCGAGGTCTTCAACTGCCTGTTGAACAGTTTCAAGCTTTGCACCAATCTCCTCTACTTGTAAAACTTCAAACAGGGAATAGCCTGAGGCTGTCTCAAATAACACGTAATTCACCTATAGAACATAATGAATGAGCCAGGCTTGTTAAAGCGTGTTTTCTCAAATTTATTTTTAGCACGAGTTAATTTACCATCTTTGCGTTGTATATTTTAATGGATTCAAGGAGACTTTCCACATGTGCAACAACGTTAATAAAGTAAACTAAACTTTCTTATTGAAACGAGAAAACGAAAAGTTAAATTTTTATTTTTCACACACAATATACGATAGATGATCATCTGATTTTATAAAAATGATCGACCTTTTGAAGATCGTTCCAGAAGCTTTGTTCATGAATTACATTAACGAGTTTAATATCAATATTCTACAGAAGCAATAATATCCTTTGATAATCATCTTCGACATCTCGATAAGTTTCTTCTAATTTCTGCAATCTTTCTTCCCTACTCAATTGATTTAAAGCATCTTCATTATGACGAAAGAGGCGCTCTTTCACGTGCAATCGATAATTCTTATATGATTTTTCATTCGTCTTATTTAATTTCCGTAACAAATAAATTTCCAAGCATCGTGCCATCTGTCTCTTGTTCAATCTGCATTTATGTCGTGTGTTTTCCACCGCTTGCTTGTCGACCGGGAGTTGTATGTTTTCTAATAGTTTGCTATCAATCAAGTATCTGAGATCATTCTTGTCTCGTAGATCTTGGAATGGTTCATTGGGGTCTTCGACGGTGATTTCTTTTATCAAGGAATTAGCCAAGAAACTTTGGTAAAGCGATTGATACAATTTGTTACCGTGACCTTGTGACTGATATGGGGGAAGAATGAGAAATTGACTGATCCTCATTCGTATATCGTGGGATAACGTGGAATTTTGAGGCAAGGATTTCTCGACAGAAGTGATCTTACCACGATCACAGTAGAAATACGCATACATCGTGCAATAACCCACTAAATTATATATGTGCGTACCACTCGTATTTTTCTTTTCAAATAATAGCGCGATTTCCCATTTCTCGTCATCCTCGTCAATGTAGGAAGCACCCTCAATGTAAAAGAGAGCAAAAATCTGTAACCGTCTATGGAATTCTTTAAATTTTGGGGTATTGAAATTCGTCTTGTAAATTTCATATACTGTGTCATCACCATTGTCATTTCTTCTGGTGTAGTATTCATCAATTTTTTCACCCATGGGCCGAAAATTTAGTGAATCCGATTCCACAATATTGAGAAAGGTGTCATAATTGGTGGTGAAATCTTTCGGAATGAATTCCTTTATTTTGCCTATTACATCGTCTGGCTGAGCGACAGGCGTAATTTCTGTGATTTTTTGATCAAAGGAGACGTTGAAGTACGTCGAAAGACTTCCAGACGCGTAGTATAGTTTGATTTTCAGATTTTTGTACCCGTATATTTGTTCGTGTTTGCCAAATATTGGATAGGTGAAGTTTGGTGAAAATCGGTCTTTATAATTCGATTGATGCAATTGTATTTCCACTGCTTCGTTTGAGTTGCAAAGCCATTCTGTAGAGACTTTGGTAGTAGACGCGTTATTCATTGGGGACTTGAAGAGAGCAGCATATAAAGGCAGAAGCCGTGTCCAATTAAATTGATAGGCGTGTGATCACACTGTTTATTAAATCACAAGTGAACAATCAATCCAGAGGAAGAAAAGAAGTTTATCGATTTTCAAGAGTTGGTATTTGCACAGAAAAAGATGACGAAAAGTTTTTAATCAGCAAATGCTGGACAAAGTAATCTTGGTTTTTGTTACCGAAATGGCATTGATGACACAAAATCCTTCGTGTGGTATTTAGAGTTAGCAAAGGGCGGAAGTGTTATTGGACAGTATAGTCTTGGATGCTGTTATCAAAATGGCACTGGTGTACAAAAAGATGACGAATGGTATTTGAAGGTGGAGACACAAATCTTCTATATCAACAAGACAAATTCTTTTGGATGCAAACACAGTTAAAAATTTCAGGCGGTAGAGAATTTAGATAAGGAGAAAAATCAATTTTTCGCAAAAATGACTAATTATGTAGCTCCATCCTACGAATATATCAAGAACAAAACTTTCCCTGAATGACATTCGACATCCGCTGAGTAAAAGATTATTGATCTTACCTTTCTCAAGTTAAGCAATGCAGTTCTCAAAAATTATGAACAAAGTCGTTGCAAACTTAGTCGTTCAAGAAACAAAAGACATTTTACGAACTGTTGGTAGTTATACAAATCTTATTTTGCAATTTTTCTTTATTCTAGAACTGTACCTGTACTAACTCATATAGACGTTCACAGATCTGAAAACGACGGCGAAAGAACTGCGGATGTGTTTGACTTTACAAGTCATTGCTATCAGCGTTATCAAATGATTTGGAAATGTCATTGATCATTTGGAATAGAATGGCCATTTAATATATGAAGCTTGCAGACCGTAATCGATTTTAATTCCGCAACTAAATCTGATATGCACATGCAGACTCCGCATTATATTATTTGATCTTCCGCAGGTGTTTTGCAAGTACACTTTTTAAATAGCTCTTGCAATTGGTAATCATACATTAGTTGACGCAAAAAGTACTGCTATCACTTGTAATTGGAAATCTAATACAGATAAACCTCTCTAAGTGCACCCCCCTTGGGACCAAGACAGAGTGTGCATTTATAGAGAGCAAAATACATAGAACTCTTATAAGCTGGGGCTGAGTTATGCTGTGCATTTAGAGAGAGAGAGAGAGCGTCTATAGAACGTGCATTTAGAACGGTTTATCTGTATCTATGAACGTTAATAAAAATCCATTTTCTAATTAATTAACATACCTTGCTTGGTCAAAGTTACTACAGGTGGACGGAGGCTGAGAGTATATTGGCGCCACTGCACGATTCACGGAGAAGCATAAAGTTCAAGTCTATGCAGAAGATGTAAAGGAAATTTTCTCATCCAAACCAGTTCTTTTATATAGTAATGCGGTCAATCCCCTCTAGTCATATTTGTCAGATCCAATATGATGTGATTATAAAGATGAGTTATTATAATTCTCGAAAAAAATGTGATTATAATGGTTTTTATATGATATAACTATTACAGGGATAATTATAGAGGGATTTGACTGTATTTGTTTAACTTTATTATAAACATATGAAAATAAAAATAAAATGAAAATGAAATAAAAAGTAAAATAAATTATAAGATATTTAATAAGTTATTTTTGTTGATTTTTATTTTTTTAAATAATATTTAGAAAGTTTGTATTTTTTAACTATTTTTAGAATATTTAAAATTTTACAAATTAGCAATTTTATATTATTATTATAATAATATATAGTGACTAACAGAATTATGGAATCATGCATGCAATTTTATTAATAAAATATAGTAAAAATTGAAATTTTTGTCTTATATAAAAGTTTTTGATTTATTAATAAATATTTTTTATTTTTATATCAGATAGTTATTTTTAGATAATTATTATCTTATTGGACAATTATATATTAGATATTATTGGTTCTTAAATTTGTTCAAAACAAAAACCATAAATTATAATCTAATATATATTTTTAGATTTTTTTCTGAGAAAGTTGTTTTAATTGCAAAGTTATTATAAAAATTTTTTATAATTAATTTTACAAAAAATTTTTGCAATAACTTTGCAATAGAACAACTTTATTAGCAAAAAATCTAAAAAATCCAGAAATAAAAAATATTAATAAAAGTAAAAATTTTTATATAAAACAAAAATTTTAATTTTTAATATGTTTTATTAATAAAATTATATATATAATTTCATAATTTTATTAGTTACTATAACATGAAAAGTATTTTATCAAATAACAAATAAATATTTTTATTTTTATAATCTATATTTTTAATATATATTTTTTTAGAATTTTTTAAATATAAGAAAAAATTTTTTTATGATTAAAATTGCAATTTTTTTAATTTTAATTATAAAAAAATTCTAGAATATTCTAGAAAAATATATTAAAAATATAGATTATTATCTTTATATTAGTATTATTATAAAAATAAAAATATTTATTAATAAAGTAACAAATTTTAATATAAAAAAATAATGTCAATTTTATTATATTTTTTTTTAATTTTTAATAATACAATATAAGAGTATATATATAATAACAATCAGAAATAATATAATGATATGAAAATTTATTAATTAAGCATGATAAAATATGAATTTTTTTATATAAAAGTTTTTAGTTTTATTAATAAATATTTTTTATTTTTACATTAAAATGAAGATAATATCACATATTTTAATATATATTTTTTTCAGATTTTTTAGATTTAATTTGTTAAAGCTGTTCTAATTATATATAAAATTAATTATTTTTTTATAATTAAAATATATTAAAAAAATAATTGATTTTATATGTAATTAGAATAACTTTATTAAATTAAATCTAAAAAATTTGAAAAAAATATATGTTAAAATATGTGATATTATCTTTATTTTAATATAAA